GCCTGCGGGTGCAGGTTTACTGCGACATGACCTCCGATGGAGGCGGCTGGATTGTAAGTAGTCATGTGGTTGTCCTACGCGTTGTCCTCATTGCAGAGTAACTGAGCCTCATCCTACCAGCAAAGCCAAGCACCACATTATATGGGAACGACAGCAGGCTTAATATTGCACACTTCATTTCCCACGCCATAGGGAATGGCCCACGCTCCAGTAATAATAGTTACTTTTGGAGAAATGCCCTTTGATTTATTTGACATGTTTGCAGTGCTTGTGGAGATCAAAATCTGAGAGTGAAGCTGATGTATTGTTCTAGAAATGAAATTAATGGCCATGGGGAATGATTCACAGTGCCTGCAGTAGGAGGGTGTCAGGCATCACCCCGATTGACTCTGCACAGGAGCATTTTAGAGGAAAATGCCTGTTTGGCTTTTGGATTGCAGAAACGCTGCCTGTCTTGACATAGATGGACTGACAGCTTAAGTAAATAATGCTCTGGTGCTTTGATTTTATTTGCTTACTTACATGCATTACACAAAACTCTGCTAGATGTAGAGTCAAAAAAAAAAAAAAAAAAGACTTCCTCAACTGCTGATTTCCAGCACAGATGTTATTTTAGCCAGGAAATTTCCCTCACTCTCACTCTGCCTCAGAGCATCCCCTCAGATACTCCAGAAAGAGCCAACCAAAAGCAGAATCACGTGCTAGAAAACCAGAGGCACCACACATCAGGTACAGCAGAAAGCTTGAAGGCCGATTTCTTCCTATTACAACATCTCTTCAGTTTCTCCATCTGCACAGGAATTAATTGCATGGCTGCAATTAACACTAACTGGATAGGCATCGCAATTTTCTCCCCGAAAGATGCGATGGAAAGACAAAGTATTGTCTTTATTTTGTGTGCTCCAAAGCCTGGAGAGGCTGTCGCTCTTCTCCCTCACACTGATTTTCCCCCTGGTCTTCCCCCACCACAGGTCTTCCAGAGGCGGCAGCACCGGCTCACCGACTTGGTCTTCCCCCACCACAGGTCTTCCAGAGGTGGCAGAACGGGCTGACCAATTTCTTCCGGAAATGGACAGACTACCGGGTTGGCTTTGGAAACTTGGAGGATGAGTTTTGGCTGGGTAAGACCATAAATGGTTGTCTTTCATCAATGCGTTAAACCCAAGCTTCCCACACACTGTGCTGGTCACCCATGCCAGCTGTTGGCTCCTCGCCTTTCACCCCACTCCTCTACGCTCTCCCTTGAACAGTTTTCCTTCTGTTGTTCATTCCCTGCCCTGCACGTTAGAAAGTCACTCATGGGCACACCACATAAAAGCACATCGTGAAGGCCAGCAGCTCCCTAATTTGCTTCTCCTAGGAGAGAAGGGGGTACGCTGGGGGTCTTCATGGACCAAAACACGTCATCCTCCTTTTGGATGACTACAGGTTACACTGGTGGCACCTACAGCTCATGGACCTCACCTGGTCTTGGCCTGCAAGCCAGTTGCCTGAAGAAAGTAGGAAAGGGGTGACTGGGAGATCCAGAACAGCTTTGGAGTGGAGTGTGCTCCCCCAAAACCTGAACATGAGCCAAGGCCAGCCCTGCAGTGTAAACACACTCCAGCTTGTACAGGAGCTTAACAGCAACATGAGAAGCATCAGGGCTCCACAGCTAAATGTCCACAGCTTCAGCAGCATGGAAAAAGCTGCACATGGGCCTTGAACCCACCTCTCATAGCCACAGGGAGGTGAAGTTTGACAGGACAGAGAGCTCAGACCCTGCCAGTGCCAAGAGAGACAAAGACTTAATCAGAAGTGCTGTTGCTTTTTGTTTTTTCTCCTTGCTCCCATTTCCCACAGTCATTTTATTTCCCTAGAGCTATTTTGTTTGCTCACGGAGTGGATCCAGGAACTGGATCTCATCGGGTGTCTTGTTGTTTGTCTCACCAGGCTTGGACAACATCCACAAGATCACATCCCAGGGGCGCTATGAGTTGCGAATAGACATGAGGGATGGTCAGGAAATGGCATACGCCTACTATGACAAGTTTTCCATCAGTGACTCCCGAAGCCTGTACAAGCTGCGAATCGGGGACTACAATGGCACTTCGGGTACAACCTCATTGCTAGCAAGCAGTAGGGAAATTGTGGGACCAGTGGGTCTGAAACTGTAAAGGAAATCCCAACATCAAAGCTTACTTGTCTGAAGCAGCAAGACACAAACCCATAGCCCGTTCTGCCTTCCTGTAGTCCACCATGTAAACCAGGCTGATAAATCCCACTAAGGACACAGGGAATTTTCCATTGAGGATTACATATTAAATATCAGAGGCATTGCTGTTCAAATAACCAGGTCAATTGTCAGAGGTGTCATCTCACTGGGCAATAACTGCAGCTCGCTATTGATGCCATGCTGGAGGGTGTATTTATCACTCTCCCACAGCAATGGAAAAATCTTAAATCCTCTGCATCGTTTCCTCATGCAGAGGCCAAACCCTGGCCAGTTTTGCAAGGACACTGTCACACCTACTTGCTCAGTTGATGCAGCAGCACTAGGCTTCACCCACCAGAAAACAGCAGGTGATGAGTGATGGAGGGAGGGCATTGGGGTCTCTTCCCCAAGAAGGCAGAGAGGGGTACAGCTGCAGCCCCTTTAGCTGGGATAGACATGCCTAGTGTAAGCTCCCATGATACAGACAAAACTTCACCATCATGTACTTAGCAAGGAACCCCACGCAATGTCTAAGATGCAGGAATTTTCCTGTATAATATCTGGTAGTAGCCACTGGAAAAGAAGTGACAGAGATCTTGGTTGTGTGCAACACAGCACTTGCTCTGAACTTAAGTCCCAGGGCACAAGGCACTCAACCTTTTGCCATAAATGCCAGTAACAGTGCTGCAGACACGACGCCCTCCCTTTCCTCATGGAAGCTCTTCTTCTAGCCGTTCAACCAAGGAGCTTCTGCTCCAACTCGAGCAAAGAGAGCCAAGACTTACCAAATGGTCCACTGCCAAGAGTTCCCCGAGCAAGCCTCTTGGTGGCTGGACTGCACACAGCTCGCATAGGTCCACTTTGTATTTCCTTAGGGACCGCCAAGGAGCATATTAAGAATGTCTCCTGTAACTACATCATTCAATTGTAATAACAACCATATTTCACTCTGACTCTTCTTTCACCCAAAAGGCAGCTCTCGTGTTCCTTAGTAAGGCGGTGAGATGAGGTTGGTGGTTTTGGTGGAGTAAGACATCATGTGCCTTTCAAAAGCTTATTCCTCTTATTCAAAGGGAGAAAAGAAGTCCTAGTATCTCAGTTCAAGAGATGAATGCTTGGTCTCCTTTGGGAGAAAAAGTTCCCTTTGGCTAACAGGAGGGAAGGAGGCTGAACGCATCCTGAAGTTATGTAGCAGGGCCAGGCCTCAGGAAATCAGGGATGCCCAAATCTAGGATTTAATTCATTTCTGAAACACTGGAATTCAGATCCAAACCCATATAGCATTTTATCTGCCAAGTCCAACCAGCCTCTAAGATTTGCTGTGGTCTGTACTGATCCTAAACTGACAGCAGAGGACCTCAGATGAGCCAATTGTGAGCAATTCCAGTTAATGTTATTCCCGGACCTTCAGCTGATTGGCAGGTTACCATATATACCAGAATATCCCAATTTCCTTGTGAAAAGACCAGATGACTCAGGCTCCATCACCTCTAATGGCACTTCTTTCCACAGGGGACTCCCTCACCTATCACCAGGGCCGCCCCTTCTCCACCAAGGATAGGGACAACGACGTTGCTGTGACCAACTGCGCCATGTCCTACAAAGGGGCCTGGTGGTATAAGAACTGCCATCGCACTAACCTCAACGGCAAGTACGGAGAGTCCCGGCACAGTCAGGTAAGGGCAGAGCTTGGCTGAAAGTCCTTGGCATTTCTTCTAGGGGTATGACCAAGCATGACAGCAAGTCTAGGCTAGGGCTGGGGCGGCATGGTGGGTGCAGGAGCACTGGTGGGGTGCCCCCACACCAGCTGGAGCAAAGGGAACCACCTTTAAGCCATTTAGACTGATGCTTCATGTCTCACATTGGCTGCCATGGTCATTTACTGTGGCACCTTGTGATGTTACATTAAAAAAATATGCATACATGAAACTTGATC